GGGGGGGGGGGGGGGGGGGGGGGGGGGGGGGAGAAGCACACGGTGGCAAACACGAAACGCATCGTAACAAGCCCGATGAACTTCAACTTTGGAAATGTCCACAGGTAATTTGGTTTTCTTTTAGGCATTTGCAGCCAATTTGGTAAAATTTCCAGTTAACTGGAATCGAGTTTCAAGCCAAATTAAAACAAAAAAGAATATATATAACATATTATTTTTTAAATTGAAAATTAAAAAACTTTTCTGCATATTTTTTTTAACGAAATTCGGCGAGCGCGACGATAAATTCCCGCGTCCAGAACTGCTCGCTCCCGCGGCGTATCTCCTCAGCCACATGTCTCCTCAGCCATCCGAGATGCCAAGACCACCCCGGGGCCTGGCAACGATTAGCGTCTAATTTTGGGAGACACGGTCTCCCAAAATTAGACCGCGAAGTACTTTTTTTCCGAGTACTATCGCCTCGAAGAAACAAAAATCGCATTCTGATTCTCGACCACCACAATATTCATTTACCGCGAATAATATTATTTGTAATGGTATATCACGAAAAGTGATGAAGGATAATCATGAAAAGTGATGAAGGATAATCATGAAAAGTCATGAGGGATAATCATTAGGTGATGAAAATGAGGCGACTGGCGATGCAGTCTTGGGCAATTTTTTGATTTGCCCTAACTTTGCCCTGTTTTGGCCTGAAAATGCCGGATTCCCCGGCTGAGTCATTTCGTGTCGATAGTACTCGGAAAAAAAGTACTTCGCGGTCTAATTTTGGGAGACCGTGTCTCCCAAAATTAGACGCTAATCGTTGCCAGGCCCCGGGGTGGTCTTGGCATCTCGGATGGCTGAGGAGACATGTGGCTGAGGAGATACGCCGCGGGAGCGAGCAGTTCTGGACGCGGGAATTTATCGTCGCGCTCGCCGAATTTCGTTAAAAAAAATATGCAGAAAAGTTTTTTAATTTTCAATTTAAAAAATAATATGTTATATATATTCTTTTTTGTTTTAATTTGGCTTGAAACTCGATTCCAGTTAACTGGAAATTTTACCAAATTGGCTGCAAATGCCTAAAAGAAAACCAAATTACCTGTGGACATTTCCAAAGTTGAAGTTCATCGGGCTTGTTACGATGCGTTTCGTGTTTGCCACCGTGTGCTTCTCCCCCCCCCCCCCCCCCCCCCCCCCCCCCCC